ATGCTCCTCTTGATAAGAGTAACTCAATCAAGTAAATTGGCACTTCCGTACGCTGTTTTGCTACTACTTCTAACACACAGTTCATCAGCATATTACCAAGGACGAAAGCAGCAAAATTGACCAGTGGCCCCTCACAGAAGTTCAACATCTTTTAACACCTCCGGACTCTATGACTGACCTATCAAAGAAACGCAAAATATTTCCAGCATTTGCCCGTGACGGCCTACGATTTCATCTACCCACGCCGCCAAAGCTACTCAAATAGATCTTCCTGGGAACATAGTTGCAGTCACTGCTGATCGTGTCGATAGCCAGGGGGCACTCCGTATTTTCACCGAGGACAACAAATCTGGGCCCTTCCTACATATTCCCGCATGGACTAGCCTTTTCCTCTACACGCTTGCACTGCATGCCTTGTACCCAAGAACACCGTCACAATAACTGAGCATACGTCCTAGCTGCCAGAATGTGGACCCAAGGCGAGAACAACACTAGCGCCCAGCCTTCGGCGTCATCTGCGAGCTCTAGAGAGATACCGAATCCATCAAAGCTGCCAGAGCTCAAGTACTATAAGCTCCCGAACCCAACATCTATCCGTCTCTTGGACATCGTCGAGTCCGAGTCTGACAAGGTTCGCTGTGAAATGCGGATCATGGATTTGAACTCTTGTCCCGAGTATGCCGCGCTCTCCTACACTTGGGGAAACCCTGTCACGGTCTACGAAGAGCCTATGCCGGACACCCAGAATCTGAAGTACCCAGAAGATGCCGACAAGCTCCCCTTCACCTACTCCACACCCCCGCTTGGCCCTAACGGGGAGGCGCTTGTCGTTGTCGATGGCCCCAGGGAGGATTAGTTCTTTCTCAACCCAAGCATCCCTTACGAGAAGGTCAATTGGAAAAGCGGAACCCAGCGCTCGATCGAGGTCAACGGATGCGCGGTGCATGTTGAGGAGAATTTGTTTCTCTATCTCGTGGCGGTAGGCCACTGGAGGGCTCAACATGCTAGAACGGGTGACGATTCCGACCACGTCCATGATGCTCTGCGCCTACCAATGTGGATTGACGCTCTATGCGTCAATCAAACCGATCTCGCCGAGCGGGCTGCACAAGTCCAGCTGATGAAAAGGATCTTCAAGTCGGCGTCCATCGTCTTCGCCTGGATAGGGCAAAGCGATAGGCTGTCCAGCATCGCCACCGATGCCATGGAAATGATTCTGAACTACGCATCAACACTCTCAGAGGCTATCTTCGCTCCGACACATGATTCCGAGGTCCAGCGCCCAGAACTAATGGACACGTCGCTCTCGTCGATTCCCGGAATGAGCGTGGCTCATTGGTTTGCCCTCTTCTCGCTCCTTCAGCGGCTTTACTTCAGGCGAGCATGGATTGCGCAGGAGCTCATCTTCTCCAAAAGCATACTTATGATCTGTAGCGGAGGCATCATGAGCATAACCCTCCTTCTGACCGTGCTCTCCTTCATTTTGGAACAACGGCTGGACCACGACCTGTGCAGGCTAGGTCGGAACCTATTGACCGGCCACCCCTCTCCGACGCCGGTCGGCACTTCATGAAGCTTGCGACATTCGCTGAGACTCAGTGTTCTCCTCAAATAGCGTCGGCGAGCACTCCTCGGTCGCTGGAGATCGAACCAAGAAACGCATTCTCCTTCATCCTGGGGTATCATCGTGTCCGCGGACGTCTCGGGTCCAGTAAAGCTGGAATGCCGTTGATAAGGAGCCGACTCGTGTCCTCAAGAGTAAACTCGAAAGCCGTGCATAGCTGGGGCGTTGAACTTCCAGAACATATCAAGCTAAGCGATCAGGTCATGGTAGAGGTCGAACCGGGAGTTTTCAGGTTCCATCGCCGCCCTCTCCGCCTACTCTCGGTGCTGTCGGACTTCCGCAATCTCGATGCCACCGACCCACGTGATAAAATCTTCGCCTTCCTTAATCTCGCCACGGATGACCTCGGCCTTATTCCGGACTACTGCGCCAATGTGCAAGATGTCTTCAGAAAGGCGACCGAAGCGATGTTGAAGAAGACGGGCACTTTTTCCGTCTTGTCCCAGATCCAGGATCCATCAGAGACCAAAATTAAGGGCCTGCCTGGTTGGGTCCCCGACTTCAGCGCCAGACTTGAGCGAACACCGTTTGACCAAGACGGAGAGGAGTACCAATTCTATACTTCGTCTAACTTTCCAACGGCGAAGATGCACTTCAACACGGATGGGACGCTCGGGGTAGATGGTTTCAAGGTAGACACCGTGTCCTCGGTCACCGACATGGAAGGAGATGCTATCATCCAGGTCCTGAAACTCGCGCTGAAAGTGCCCGCGCATTACCCTGCGAATCCTCTCGCCTGGTGGTGTAAGGATCACGTTGGTCGACATCTCCGCCCGCGAGCTGTCACCCGCGTCGAAGCACTCTGGCGTACTCTCGTTGCAGACCAGTTGACGGAAATGGATGAAGACTACGGAACTCTGGACTCCAGAGCCGGCCTGAGCACTGGCTTCGTCAACTGGGTTATTACGGATATCCTGGAGGCTCGTGGATTGCTCGTCCAGTACATCGATATCGATCCAGATCATTGGATGGTAAAGCTGATAATAGATTCCTTCTGCACAAGGATGTGTCTTTGGTCGGCGATGTACGATGAACGTCAAATTTCCACCTTCACCAACCTGCGAGATCTGGGGGGCGTCCTTGACGATCTGGGGTCCAAAAAGCAAGACGAGGAGGATCAATATCAGCCAGACCAGCATCTTGAAATTCCGTCGCCAAGGATGGGCCTTGAGCATTTCCCGACGGCCCACCAGATAGCGGCGTGCTTTCGCAAGCATGTCCAGGAACCCGAGGACGGTGAAGACACCCTTATCGGAAGCTACAGGACAAGCGCGCTGCTGCGATTGACCCAACTGGAGCGCAGACAGCTCCGAAACTTCGAAAAGTGTATGCAGGAAGCAACTGAGGGGCGCCGGCTGTTCTGCACCGAGGCGGGTCGGTTTGGTCTAGGTCCGAAGCCGACCGGACAGGATTCCCAGTGCACAGACCAGATATGGATTTTGAATGGAGCCAAGGTACCTTTTGTCTTGCGATGGGAACGAGAGAACCGGTACAAGATCGTTGGGGAGGCGTACGTCCACGGCGTCATGTATGGGGAGGAGACGAACACGCTACAGGAGATTCGCCTGGTCTAATGTGCTGAGGGCAGCCAAAGGGATGCTGGCGTAGAGAACTCTGGTGCCCTCCGGCTGAGTGTCTTCAGGAGATGCGGGCCTGGGACGTTCAGGTGACACAGCGGCGTCCGCCGACTTTACACCAATGAGCTTTAGCATGAGCTGCTCCAGCTGCTGTGCAGAAGTCAGGATCTTGAGTTGCTGTTGGCACACTTCATCCCGTTCCCAGTAATGATTCGCGCAAAAGACTATAGGATCGGTATTAGTGAGCATGGCATTCTTACCGAGGACAGTGGAGTCAGGTATGTGGTCGGTATGCTGCATCTTCAGCGCCTCCAGCACATCTTTGAGCGAGTCACCATACTCATTAAGAACTGAACGTTCTATTGTTGTATGCTCATCCCAGGGAGAGTCGGTGATAGTTTCGATGCAATCCTTCATACCAAGCTCCCTCCTGGGAACATCCTCGCTAGCAGTGTGTGGAGCGGCCACGTTTTCGGAGGGCAATAATGACTACGACTCTAGGTCTAAAGACTACGATGCCGAGTCGAGAGGCGAAGAGGCACTGAAGGAAGAATAATACAAGAGAAAAAATCCTGTTGAACTTCTGTGAGGGCCTATTGGTCAAATTTGCTGTGTTTACTCTTGTAATTTGCCCGTGCTTTATTGGTCGAATTCTCGGTGCAATATTGGAGCTATTTTCGCTGTGCACGGACAGCCGATTTGTACTACGGCTACAGGCCTAATTTTGGCACCCCCCCCC